GTGTGTGTGTGTGTGTGTGTGTGTGTGTGTGGCAGTAATGAAGCCAGAAGAAAGAAGAGTGAACAAGAGATGGAATCCCTACTTGAATGTCAACAATTATTTCTATTTCAAAAGACTCTAGCCTGGATTTCACAATTATGACAATGAAACCAGGAAGTTAATTTCAAGCACAGTGATGGTCAAGTATAATCCCATGTCTGTAATTCCCCGTGTCAGTCTGGAAAGCTGTCCTGTACATACTTCAATTCAACACAGTTACCTAGCTTACTTGCCTTAAAAATGTCTGGTGAGATATTATGGTCTCAGGAACGAGGACTTTTCTGCTGCCTAGTCCTCTGTTGCAACAGCTCCTTCAGTCCGTCTAAAGCAGAGACAAGACTTAGTTGGATCAGGACAGAATTCACGAGTTACTCACTCTCTGTAAGTGCCATCTAAAATGCCTGGATCTTGCTCTTTAGGAGGCTGTTGACGCTAATCTGTGATTTGTCTTTGGTGTGGTTGCCCTTCACCCTCTCCTTCCCCTTCTGCAAGTCTGTTCCCCTCTGGAGTGGCCACCCATTCCTCAGAACCCTCCTTGAGGACGGCTTGCTCTTTCCTAGGCCTGCTCTTCCCACTGCGTGCACTCCAAAGTGTCTGAATAACACTGTCTTGAATGTTTTTTATTTCCACCAACAATGGCTCATCTTTACTTCTAGAGTAAAATTCAAGATCATTAGCAACATACTTCAGAAACTCTGGAATCTTAAGTCCTCTCTTTTTATTAGATGAAACCTTTTACACATCCCATCCATGCAGATTTCCACGCTCCTGGTTGTTAATGTTGAGAAAATTATTCACACAATATTATATACAAATATACAATCACTGATCCTTTTAATCGATGATTATCTGAGCAAATGTTTTTTAGATTCTCTTAATGGTTTGCTTCTTGTTATACAAGTTTTTATTTTAGCATAAACCCAATGTGGTCACAGCAAAAAATTACTTCAATATGATATGTTCTGTTTTAACATCTTACATACAGAATTTACATACCAAAATACTCATGGCCTTTTTGAGTGTCACTATCAAAATTCAATAAAATGAAAGGAATATTCTAATCTAGTTTACTTTTCTACATTTCTCAAGCTTGTGTAATATAGGAAACATTTATTCCATGAACGTTTGGAAACAAGTCCTTAGGAAATGAAGCTCAAATAATTTTAGAGATAATTCTTTCCATTTTTTTCTTTTCTTTGTTTTTGGTTCCGGAAATCAAACTTGGGTCCTTGTGCTTGCGAGGCAGGCGGTGGAACCACTGAGCTAAATCTCCAGCCCCTATTTCCATTTTATCTTAATGTATCACTTTAGTAACTTTATATTCTTATTCGAAGATATTCTGTTTTTATAATTGGCTTCCGACGTCCCACCACTCATTAACATGAGCTGAGCGAGGTGGTAAAATCCTCCGGACCTCAGGTGCCTCTCCCCTAAATGCAGGAAATCATGATAATAGTATCGTATAGATCATGAAGTTACAATAGAGATGAAAGAAATTACTCTACAGAGAACACAACCAAACGCCTACATGTAGAAAATGCAGCTATTTCTTTACCTACCCATTGATAAGCATTTCAAACATAAAGGTTTCAAAACAGAATTTTGATGAGTGACAATTCCCCTAAAACTGCACCTTCTGTGATCTCTTTCCCAGCAAGACGTACCGTATCGTCAGGATGTCCCTACAGTGCAAACAGCTATCCCTGATCTCTCTCCTTTCTTCATTTTTTTTTTTCATCTACCTCATCAGAACCTCTACACAGCCCTAAATTAAGAATGTCTTGTAGGGGCTGGGGATTTTCTCAGAGGTTCCACCACCTGCCTAGCATGCACAAGGGCCAGAGTTCGATCCCCGGTACAAAAAACAACAAAACAAAACAAAACAAAAATCTTCTACATGAGACTGCTGCTTGCATAAGCTGTGCCGGCTCAGCACTGCCGTGGCGTCTCAGTGACCTCCGGCCCTTGCCTACTTCCCTTTTCCCCTTGCTCCAAGTAGCAGCCAATGGCTCCCCCTTAAAAGAAAAACTGGACCAAATTACCTCCCTACAAAGAACTGTTTGGCGTTTCCTCTGTCACCAAGAATACTCTTCAAACAACACTACAGACCGGACTCACAACCTTGCTGCGCTAGGGGAACAGCCACCCCCGCGCTACCTCCCCGCTCCTAATCCAAACTCTTCACCTCAATATAGAAGTCTGGATGCACCAAGCTGGTTCTGATCTTGGTCCTGGCCTTGGCTCTGTGTTCCTGTTCTAAGGACTTTCCCGGGATCTCGGGGCTGGTCTCCTCTCTCCGCTTTGGGTTCTGCATAGATGTGACCCCACAGCCCTCTCTTACCACAGAGCCCCTCCACAATGGTAATTCCGCTCCCTTTTCTCTTAGCACCACCTGTTTAGATCTAAAAGTCCTATTATTTGTTTACTATTTTCACTATCATGCCCTTTCTTTCCCTTGGGAACTCGGGAGAGGGACGCAGTCCTTCTGAAATACTCAATGCCGGGACAGGACATAGACACTCTCGGTATCAACACCTGCTAGTAGCGAGGTTTTCCCTCTTAATCCTCTTCTCCTGGGGTGGACCAGGCCTCTGTTTTCCTTGGAGGCTTTGTCTGTCCCCGACTTGAGACTTGCCGGTTTAAACACCACCCAGCACAGCAGATCCAGGCTCACTCAGCACCAGCAGACAGAGTGCAAAGCACATACAGACCACTAAGCTGTCAGTGTCTGGCGTGGTGATATTGCTTCACTTAAGATGGGATTTGAGATGAGACCTTATCTTGTCCATATCCTCATCCAATAGGAAAGAATAGGGAAAGCACAGAGAGAGATGCATCTGGAAGCAACGGGACAGAAGCTGTAAACCAAAGCAGTGGGTTCCAGAGAATCCACCTGAGCACCGGGCGAAGATCTGTGGGGAGAATTAGAAAATATCAACGCAGGACACAACACTGTAGCTCATCACAGTAGACTCACTTTTACAGTGGCAGGAGAAGGAAGTGTAGCCCTGATATGAATCGTCCGGAGGACCCGCAGACAAAATCCATTCTCCACTTCTTCAGGAAATGAAGTCTCCCCGGAAGCCATCCTGACACATAGCGGCATCCAGTTCACTGCTGGCCTCAGGTTGCTTTTGCACGCACACAGCTGGACACTGAAAGCCTCTCTCCTCTGTTTGCTTCCTTCTTCCTTTCCCATCCCTACTCTTCCTTCCACAGCGCTGCCTTGATTCTACCACCGGCTTTGCAAAGAGACCAAAGCTACATGGAAAGAAGTGTACTTCCTTCAGAAGGGAACCTCAAGGCCGATCCCAACTGATACCCCGTCTTCCATAAAAAGCTTCTTTATTGTTGATTATGGTCTTCGATCATAGCACACTTTTGATGCACTTACAGTGGGCCCGAAATACCAGGTAAGTTATAGACACAGACATTAACTCTTTAATTTTTCTTTAACTTGATTGAATTTTCTTAGAAGGTTATCATTCCATCAGATGACATAAAATGTAATCAACACTACTCCAAAAAAAAAGAGGACAATTTTGCATTTAAATTCATGAATTTGTGTAAGGATTAAGTTTAAAAGTTAAAATGTCTTTGTAAACATGGCCAATAACTATATAAATCCATGTTCACTATCTCTGACCACTTGAGAATTAAAATGACACTGAGATTCCATCTCACTATGGAAAGAATGTGTACCATCAAAATAGCAACCAGTAACAAATGCTGGAGGAGCAGAGGGGAAGAGGACACTTTGTTTTGTTTTCATTAAATTTATTGGTACTTTTTAGTTACACAGTACAGTTACATTTATCATTGGGATCTTGTACCTTTAAATGACGTACCTTGTTTCTTATTTTTCCCCCATTCCCCTGCCCTCCCTTCACCCCTTCTACCCTCCCCTATTTACAAAGACCTTGTTTCCATTTTTTTCTTTTTCTGTATTTCTTTCTTTTCCCTATTTTTTCTTTCCTTTGCCTTACCCTTCCCAATTCCCCTACTCCTTTATCCCTTATCTTCCTATTTTATATTGTCAATTATATAATTTGAGCCTTTTTTGCACTTTTAGCTTTTCACACCACAGAAACGATTTGTTATTTACACATGTGTGTCCTCCTATTTATTTCACTTAAGAGTGTGGCCTCAATACAATTTACCCATAAATGACTCTAGTTCCTCATTCTTTATGGATGAGTAGTACTCCAATTTATAGAAAAACCACCCCTTCTTTTTCCAGTCTCCAGTTGATGGCAATTAGACCGTTTCCAAGTTTTAGCTATTACAAACTGTGCCACTGTAAACATGGATGAGCATATATCACTGTGGTATGATTCTTTAAATTCCTTTGGAAAGATCCCCAGCAGGGAAGAGCTGGGTCAAATGGGACCTCTAATCCTAGTTGTTTGAGGTATCTCCATATCGATTTCCACAGTGGTTGCACCCATCTGCACTCCCACCAACAATGGAGAAGGGCTAAAAGGAACCTTTCTTCATTGTTGGTAGGAGTGTTAACTGCTATGATCACTATTGAAATCAGTATGGAGATTCTTCAAAAAACTGAAAATAGGAATTGCATTTGACCCAGCCCTCTGCCTTTCAGGTGTCTTCCCATAGAAGTTAGATGTCATACCAGACATGTGACATAGGCACATTGCTAAATCTTGGAAGCTGTCCACATGTCCACCAACAGATGAATGGATAAAGAAAATGTGGTGTTTGTATATTACAGAGTACTACTCTGCCATAAAGAAGGAAAACGGATTTTGTAGGAAAGCAGATGGACCTTGAGAACATAATATTAAATGAAGTAATTGTATTACATGATTTCTCTTGTTTGAGAAACCCAATATATAAATAAAGTGCAAAATAAAAGACAGACCAATAGGAAGAAAAGAGGAAAAAAAAGTTACTATAATCCAGTATGGACAAGGTATCTAAAAGTGCACCTTGATTTAGTATATTTGTCTTAATTTTTTTAATCTGTTTTGACGTGTTAGGCTGTTAATCTACATTTATGATAATCAACTTGATAAGGACTTAGAAAATAAATGAATTTGGTGCTGGCAAAAATAAATTTTTAAAGGGTGTGGAAGCACAGGGAAAAAAAGAATTAAGATGTGTTATGTCCATGTACCAAGTCCCCATAATGAATGTAATCATTATGTACTAATCAAAATTTTAAAAAAATTTAAGTCCCTGCTTTACATAATGCTAGTCTCCCACAGCTGACATTACACAGATATGTATGTGTAGAATATGTATGTATAGTGATAAATGGAGAATATCAACAGACCTAGATTTTATGGTGGGAAGAACATCTATAACTCCAAAACTATGGTTCAATATAAAAATATTGGTCAGGTATAATTTCTAAAACACATCTTTTTCTCTTACTACAAAATTGAGGATTGAACCCACAGTCTCACACATGCTAGGCAAGTCCTCTACTGCTAACCTACATGCCTGTCCTCTCTATTACATGCATAATTTTATGACAGAGTCTTCTTTTTCCAGGCTGGCCTCCAACTTGCAATCCTCCTGCCTCAGTCTCCTCAGTGGCTGAGGCTACAGGTGTGCCCTACCACACCAGGCTAAACACGTACCATTTTAAAGCGTTCTTCTTCTGTTTAGTAATGTCACTGGCATCATTGCCTATCTCTTTCCTCCATAAGGCTTTCCAATGGCTTGAATTTTGGCTATTTTGGCCCATCAATGTCCAAGGAATATTTTTGTCAAAAAATATGTAACCACAAAAATATGTACTGAATAAATGAATGAATAGCTACATTTGTACATCGATTTTCCCTCCTTTCTCTGGTAAAAGTAATTGGGTATGTCTGAGTGGTTTTCTGAACTTCTCATTCTTTTACCTAATATTAAGACGGATTGCGCTGTATTTGTGTATAGAAATATCTTAACTAATAATAAAATACGATCCAACAATTTAAATATGGCTCAATAGAAGCCATCAATGTTATATAAAAGAGAAAAATCATTGAAACGTTATAAAATTGTATTTGCTTCTTTTCTCCAAACACAATTACATGAATCCATGAATTTACTATTGCTTTCCTCTCTCAAGGAAACACAAATTAGTTCAGGATAATAAAACCAACACTCGGCTTCATGTTTGTCGGCTGAATTGCTACATGGAATCAGAATATATTTTCTGTGGCAGAATATTTTTATAGCAAAGCAGCCAAAATTCCGCAAATGCAGAGTGCAGACTGCAACCATTTTAGCCTTGCAGGCATATCTGCGGCTTGGCGTTGACAAATGCAGGTAACATATAGGTTGCAGTTGGGGTCGTATTACAACAAACACTGCCCTTTCCAAAGCTCTCCAAGTTGCTAAAACAACTCCCCTATTACCTCGGGAGGGGATGCCTGTCAATCAACACGCTGGGGCTTCAGAGCAAGTTCTCACAATTGTATTTTTCCAGTGACCACAATATCGGAGCCCAGTCAAAACCGAAACAAAAATAAAAGACCCTTTCCTCACATTTCCACAACAAGTTTGTGTGGTGAGCACCGCAGTAGCAACCTCCTTCTCCTTTCCTGACCCTCCTCTACTCTGAGGGGTGTAGTTTTCGGCCTGCTACTGAATTTAGGCGCAGGATGACTCACAACTTTCAGGAATAATCAACTAGGAACAGGACTGATATGTACATTATTCTGAATAATCCTTCTTATTACTCTCTCTGCCCACTTATCAAGATGGGTATCACTTATGTAATTTCCTAATGCATAGGTCAGCATTCACAAACACACGACTTGTTTGTGTACTTTTTTTTATCCTTTGTTCTGTTTTTTTTCATTGATTTCTTACCACTCTGGTTGGATCAGAAAATGTGACCTAGTGGAAAAACACTGTGAGAAATACGTCATATGTGCAGAAACTTGTGGTCATCCATAGACACTTTAACATAAGATACAGCTTTTTAAGAGTTTTTTTTTTTAAGCCTCTTGTTTTTCTTAATGCTCCACAATTTTATTTTGTTTTTCTGGTGTTTTGCATACAAAATTTATTTCCTGGTTCTCCTATACTATTAACTGCTCTCACACCAAATTTTCAGTTACTCTTTATGACCGAGGTGAAATCTGTGATGTGCAATGCAGTGTCTCTTCAGAAGTTGCTAGACTTTACATTCAGCCCTTCTCGCATGGGCGAACTCAACCTTTCAGGAGTATTTCTCAGAAATAAGTATCTGTGTGGCCCTTTACGCAGCAGCTAAGACCATTGCTGCACTCCAGTGAACCAATTATTCCAGGGTCCACACAGGTGGAGCCTTGTGATGTCAAACAGCACTAGAGCTCACTTTCTTAAGAGAAACATTCAAACACTGCAGAAAACTGCTAAATTTTTCAATTATTCTCACAGAAAGAACTCCTCATTTATCATCAGTCATTGTCCTTTGTTCACTTCTCTGTGATGTCCCCTCTTACCACTTTCAGCAAAACCCCTGTGGGTATTTTGACCTTAAGACAACTGCAACCATTCTTATAGCTACAAAAGGACATTTATGACAATCAGATCAATGCAAAACTGGCTCAGCTAAACCATTTTCTAATTAATTTCCCAATTAATCTCTGATGAATACTTTCCACGTAAACAGTCCAGCCGATGGATGTTTTGTTCTTCTGTTTTTACTTTGACAAGGGCAAACCGAATTTGTCTTGCCTAGGAATATGCTTGCAATCGTCACAATAACTTATAGTCACATTGGTAAAAAAGCTGTCCAGAACATTTAGTAACAGAGTGGGGCTCCTTTGGAAACAGTAGAAAGGCAGTTGCCACAGTCCAAATTCAGCCTTTGTATTAAATATTCCCATTAGCAATGGAGCAGATGATGGTAAGTCGCTAGTAATCAAATTGAAAATGTGAATCTAATAGGCCAGGATAGACTTCAGGCAAAGAAACAGCTTCCTAAATGGCACATCTTTCACGTGGCCCTGTGAAGTCTGATGGGACCCTGCTGATTCATTACCTTCCATACAAGAACCAAGCACTTGGGTTCTGAAGTTGGGAAAGTGTCCGGGTAGTTCAGACACCACTTTGAAAATGCCAAAACAAGCTTGGAAAGTAGTCAGTCTAACCAAAGATCTGGCAGCAGAGCAACCCAAAAAATGTGTTAATTGACATTTGCTTTAATATTGAACATAGTAATATAGTCAAATCCTTTTCATGCAAAACAAACCCATTAAAGGGCACACTCTGGAGGAGAACAGTTGAGTAAGGAAGGTCAAAGTGTCAACTGAGCATACTTACTGAAAAGTAGTAAAAAGAGGTGAATTCTTTTTTTGTTGTTGTTTTTGGAGACAGAGTTGCACTGTGCAGCTTCAGGATGACATCACTAGTGATCTTCCTGTCTCAGCCTCCCAAGGGCTGGAATTATAGGCTAAGAGTCTAAAACTTTGTATAAGTTTCAAAATGAGAAGGGTGGAAAAGTGGATGAAAATCATGCATCCTTTCAGATAACCTGTGTGATTAATTAGTGAACACTCACACAGTAAAACCAATTTTTCTTACCAAATGTCAGCACTCAAAGGCTGCAAAAATGAATGCTAGCTGAATATTTGAAAAATGCCTTTGAAATATGAAGATATTTAACATTTTAATACACTAATAAGGATCCTTGCAGGTGCAACAGTTTACACACTCTGAGATTCTAACTGAATTTTAGGAATGTGTCTGTATTAAAATATATTTTGAATGAATTTCTTTAAAAAATTTTTTCTTTTGCTTTGGTTAACATGTTGAGATGTATAATTCTGTTGATAAAATTGACACATACAGGCATCCTGCTGATTCCCTAAGCAAAACCCATCAGATTCCAAACCAAAGAACCTCGTTCTGACACCTGAGCAGGGACGGCCACCCTGGGAGTGCCACTAATCAATGCCTCCTGATAAAACACGGTAAAAACAGTAGGTCAGAAGACGCAAGTTGAGGGTAACGGCACTTTCTCTTAACATAATCAGTAAAACAGCAGCAATGTCAAGAATCCACCAAACAGCTAACTCAGAATGCAGCAGTGTGGATATTCTGGTAAATCGATCCTTAGGCACTGCACTATTATTCATGATTTACAAATAAGAAAACTTGCTAAGTAGCTAATTTAAAGAAAAAAACTTTTTTTAGAGATAGTCTTGCTATGTAGTTTAGGGTCATCTTGAGCTCACTATATAGCCACGCTGGCCACAATCCTCCTGCCTCGGCCTCTGGAGTGCTGAGATTATAGGTGTGGCCACCACGCCGGACCGCATAACCAGAATGAATCACACCATTAATGCAAAACTGGAACTTGGAACCCGACATGACTGTACTGAAAGCCTCTTTCTGCTCAGATTTTTTTTTTTTTTTTTTTCGGTACCGGTGATTGAACTCAGGACCTTGCACCTGAAAGGTAGGAGGCGGAACCACTGAGCTAAATCCCCGGCCCTGCTCAGAAACCTTTTGAGAAAAAAACTGAAGAGTGAAATCTTGTGATGAAGAGAATGTGACAGCGAAGTTCGAGATGTGCCTTATGTTTGAAAAGCTGCTCCCTACCCGAAGCACACCCCACTCCAAGCACAGTGTTGATGAAAAAGAAATTTGGGGCCGGGGAGGGCAGGTAACAAATGAAATCACATCAAGGAAAAGCGAGAGAGACCTTTGTGAATCTGAAAGGGACAAGAACCCAGGATGTGCGCGCAAGCTAAGCGCGTGTGCGCTGGTGCTAGACATGGGCTCGACGCTCTCGTCAGTCTGCTCACAGGCAGCCCTGACTCGGTCCACGGCACCGGCTGGGTTGGCCTGGGCGACCGCCCACCCGGAGTGGGGAAACTCCACCAGCCCTCCTTGGGCGCCTGGCACCCGGCAGCCAGAGAGGCCCCTGCACGCTGCAGTCCTCGAGGTCTGGGGACGGCGCCTGCCCGTCCTCCTGTCTCTGTCACCGAAGGCCTCTGCTGGCCAGCGATGACCACTGTCGCCGATTTGTCTCCTCCACTCACCTGTGCAGCCCGCTGTGCTCACTAAGCGTATTTCACCAATAAAAGCATTCCACGCCGAGTGCGGTGGGGGTGGGGCTGGGGAGCTGATCTGAGGATGACAACGGTAAATAAAATTCCAAGTTAGCCGCAAGCTTGTGGTCCACTCACGGGTCCTAGCGTGGAGCAGGGAGGTAGAGGAAGCTGGAAGCTAAGAGAGAGAGAGAGAGAGAGAGAGAGAGAGAGAGAGAGAGATACAGAGGGCACAAGTCTATGCAGATGAACATTAAAGCCAAAATTTCAAACGATTGAACGAAATTACCTTAATAAACAGTGTCCACATTTTCAGGGTATTGATTCATTACAGACAAAACGGGGGTGTGGGGAGGGCACAACTGAACTAGGGTTGAGAGCGTCGGAAGGCAGCAATCCACAGGAACAATAGATACCATGCGCCTAGGCCCTCCCAGCTCGAGGCGTCAGAATCACCACCCACACGCGAAACAAACAGGGTGACCGAGTCTGACGCTGCTCCGTTCGCAGGAGCCCTGCGCTTTGAGCCTTCTCCGATTTCCTCTCCTGCGGGTTTCACCAGGCAGCAAATCCCCCATTAGGGAGCTGACAGCCGCCCTCCAGCGTGTGGTGTTTCCAGGCTACTAGGGAAACCAAACCAAACGTGTTGGGAGCTCAGCTGCTAGATGTTAAGTGGTCATGGATAGCTTGTCCCGGATTCTGCCGTGAAAAGAAATATGCAAGTGGAAATCGACCCAGTCAGCTTTTGAGGATTAGTTGCTGACTCCCTCGGGTGTTGTACACGAATGGGCTGGTACCTTCATTCATTCACGGAGGCCGCTAGCGTGGCCAACCTCTGCTCAGAGAGGCTTGGCTGTTTATTTACACCAAAGTCTTAGGATCCTCAGCTTTAAAATAAACGTGTCATATAAGAATATGCTCGTGGAGGGAAATTTCCAAAGGGCATTGGCCTCGCACTCAGTTCGTCAGTACCCTTAGCTTCCCCTGTACCGCCCGAAAACCACCAAGGCCAGGGAAAGCTCGCCCCACTCCACAGGCCTAGCACCCTGCCTGACACCTTGGCAGTGTGTCCTCAACTTGTCCCAAGGGAGGCTACAAGAACAGCAGAGCAACAAAGGACGCTGGTTAGAGTAGGCCCAATGCCCTCACAAATATCCTCAACATCTGCCCAAAGTAGCGGCTCTGTGCACACTCGCACAGCAGCCGAGACTGCGTGAGCGCGACGCAGAGCGGACTGCACAGCCCACAGGGCCCCGTCACTCCCGCATCAGCCTACACGGCTGGCGAAGAGAGGAGCCGTGCTTGTCCTCACTGCGGGAAGACACTGTGACTTCAGAGAGATAAACCCATCAGACGTCTTTCAAGTTTAAGCCAGAGGAAGGGTCCCTTCCCCGAAGAAACTGGTGTACCTTTCCCCGTGAATGGTGGTGCCACCCTGGAGATGATCGTGTTTTGGATGGTAGTTTTGATCAAGGGAAGCTAAAACTAAAAGGAAGCTAAGAGTCTGATTATGATTGAAATTTAATAGCTGTGCAGGATCTTAAGACTCGAATAAAGTAAAATTTATGAATTTATTTCACAGGTAACACATGAACACGGTAAAACGTTCAATGCGACAAAATGGAGTCACTCAGATACTAGCTTCTCTCTCCAGTCATGGATTTTGATGAAATTCTTTTCTTCCCTTTGCCTCTCCTCTTCCTCTTTCTCATCTCCTCCTCCTCTTCCTCCTGTTTCTCCTCTTCCTCCTCCTCCTCCTCCTCCTTCTTTTTCCCAGTACCCAGGGCCTTCAAACTGGGATACATCCTTAGCTCCTTTTTAAATTTTTTATTTTAAGGCAGGGTCTCACAAAGTCCCTAAATTGCCCAGGCAATCCTCCTGCCTCAGCCTCCTAGAGTGCTGGGATTACAGGGGTGCAACACCACACCCAGCTCTGACAATCTTTATACCCTTCCAGAATCACAGTCTGCATATTCAGAAAATGAAATTTTCCTAAAAATATACTTTCCTCTTTCTGTGTAAATATATCTCACATTTTTCTTTCATTCATTCCTAATTATTTTTGTAACTATTGTAAATGGAGTCATCTTCTATTCCACATTCTAGTTTTCTATTATGTCATTGAAAGTGACTAGTTTTTTAATAGTCTCTTAGATTTTACAAGTATTCTGTTATCTCTAACAATAATTATATTATTCTCTGAACAACTTTTGTACTTATTATTTTATTTTACTAAGCTTGCCAGCACTTCTACAACAATTTTAAATAATGGCTATGATAGCACATTTTTCTTGTCCCAACATTATTGAGAATGTTTCTTTTTCTTTGTTCCGGTATCAGGATCGAACTCAGGACCTTCTGCTTGCAAGGCAGGTGCAGAGGCACTGAGCTAAATACCCAGCTCTGTTGAGAATGTTTCTAAGGTTTCTCCTTTTGGCATTTATAGAATGAAATATGATATTTTTATGGTAAGATTATACTTGTTAGAAACTACCATTTACTTTATCTTTAGTGATATTTGTTTCCAAGATTAGTTACAAAAATGTAGGAATTCTGAAATTTGTTTTCTTTACCTGTAGGCTGCAACATTATAATAGTTCCATTTTCTACTCCATACACTAAAGATAATCTCAGCCTCATTATTTAGGGTGGAAGGAAAAAAAGTTTTCATGAGACAGATTCTTTCCTTACTTTCATGACATGGAATGAGCTATTTACCCTGTTTTGTCCTTTTTAATCTTCTGGGAATTGCATTAGAAATGTATCTTGTTTGTAGAAAATCTCTTATTTAGGGCTGGGGATTTAGCTCAGAGGTTCGGTAGCCAAAAAAAAAAAAAAATCTCTTATTTCATGATGATAGGCAAATTATTAAAATAGGGTTAAGGTACAACTTATAATTCTTTTGGATTCTTTCCAACCAACACTTATTTCCAGCTTTATCAATTCTTCCTTGATTATTAGCACTTTCTCCATTTACTTTATTTTCCTTAGGTAATTAGTTTACTCGGTTTTTTAAAGAGCTCTCTCTTGGATTTGTTCGATAGTTCTCTATGTTTTCATTTTCTAATTTATTAATTTCTGGTTCTGCTTTCATTGAGATTATTTTGTTGTTCCTTTCCTACCTTCCTGTAGTAAATGCTGAAATTGTTTCTATTTTAATTTTTTTCTTTTATTATCATAATAAACATTAAGCCTGAGAACTTTTCTAAGCAATTGTTTCACTATATCCTGTAGGTTCTAAAGTGAATGTCATTGTAACATTTTCTAGGTATTCTTTCATTGGGGATTTACTTTTCTTTTGTTAAGTAAGAAAATCAAGGGGCATCATTCACTACTTTCCAGTTTGGCTATTATTCTGTTTGTTTTGCACTACGATCCAAGAATACTTCTGTCATAGTACT